TATTCCTCCTTTGAAATGTAAAACTTCAAAATAATCTGAAGATAAACCACTCAGAGCTTCTTGTTATTTTCTCCAAGTCTTCTAGGAGAACCTATTTCCTTATAAAGTAACTTTCTCTCTGGATGATCACATAGATTTAGCAAATAAAAAAATATAGGGGCTGGCCAAGTGGCGTGTTGGTTAAGAGTTGGCTTGGGACGCCAGCTCTGAGCAGCAGGACCCCGGTTCGGATCCCACATGAGGGCCAGTGACGCTGCCCTCTACAGCTAAGATGGTGAACAACAGCTCGACCTGGAGCTGGGCTGCCATGAGTCGCCGTGAGCAGTTGTTCAGTGGCCGGCAACCGATCTGCCTCACCCGGGAAGAGTGCAATGATAATACCAACATGGGCCAGTGAAGCAACGTCCTCCACAACTAGACTGAAGAACAAAAGGGCAGCAACTTGTCTGTTCCCCTTCCCTGATTCCCCAACGCTGTTCCCCTCCCCCAGTTCCCCAATAAAATCTTAAAATTATATATATATATATATATATATATATATATATATATATATATATATGATGCCCAGTTGAATCTGAGTTTCAGATACCAAAAAAAATTTTTTTTTTCTTGTAAGTATGTTCCATGTAATATAGGGGACATACTTACACCGAAAAAGTATTCCTTGTGTATCTGAAATTCAAATTTAATTGGTCATCTTATATTTTAGCTAGCAACTCTACCCTGGATGCATTTTAGGTTTGCATATGTTTTTAAAATATAGCACCTAGAACTTAAGATAATATTCCAGTTGAACCCAGGAGCAGAGCTCAAGTGGGTGAGAAAGGCTGGAACGGGGAGGAAAGGGGACATGGCCCACTCTTTCACCTCCCACGCCCACCCCATGCTTCTGTGTGAAGACTGGGGTACAGTGCCTTCCTGGAAGGCATAAAGCCCCCTCCCCCAGCTCAGTGTCAAGGCACAAGTGGGGTACCTCTGGGTACCACCAAGGTTGGCAGCCCTGGTCTTAGGTAAAGAATCTCTTTCAACATCTCGAAATCCCCTCTAGCTATTTCTAACTTCTTTTTCATAATTGACTCCACTGTCTCTATTCATTGTAGGAGGTTATTTTTAGCCCTAGTGGATAGCATATTTGCAGAACACTACACACAATGGTTTGTGCCTCTCCTATCTACTTACCTCGCTTTGAATTTTTTTTTTTTCTTTCCTGGCATCAATTCTTTGAATTTCTTTGCAGGACTACTGATCCTTTGATACATTAAACTAGAATATAAGCTCCTGTAGGACAAGGGCCATGTATACATAATAATAATACCTCCTTTTCATAGAGAGCTTTTATTTCAAAAGCATTGTCTCATTCCATTTTCTTATTTTCTCCTCATACCCTTGTACCCCAGGGTCCCTGCAGGAGTAGATGCTACAAGGTGGGTGCCTGGGGCCACAGCTGCCCTGGTAGAAGTGAAATCGGGGCAGTGCTAGTCATCTAACAACACTTTCTCCACTAGCTCCCATTTCAGTCTTTTAAGGCCAGAGGTCACAGAGCACAGTCCAAGCTTAACTCATTCCAAACAGATGAGACCCCTTGCTGTTTCTGAAGATGGGTATTCCACAACTTCCCCCCAACGCCTCACCAGTATTGAATGACTCTCACTCACCAGGAAATGAAGGCTTTGTCTCCCACCCTTCCCTTTTTAACTCTTCATTCCATTCTCTAACTCTGTGATTCAATGTTACATTTCTTTCTGATTAGTAATCCCCTGTTTAACTTCAATAGGGGAAATAGACACCTGGAAACAACACAGGACTGTTTTAATGGAATTGAAATGCCACCTGCGATCTCACTCCGTGGCCTGCCACTCTGCTAGAGAAGTAGGGTCAGGATGATGATGGAGACCGGGCTGATGGAGGTGGCAAAGCTACACAACACACCAAGTCGGTGAATTTTGGAACCATCAGCCAATTCATTCATTGGGAACTTTAACGTTTCCATTCTCAACTTTACATAATAAGGTGATTTTATTGATTTCAGCAGGAAAAGCAGCTAGCAGTGTGAGGGTGGGGACCCCTATGAGGTTTTTCAAGGGCCCCCTATGAGGTTTTTCAAGGGCAACCTGTATAGACAGACACGTGTAATCAAGAGGTAATGATAGCTGGCTGCTGTGACCAAAGCCTTTGAGGATCACTGTGATCTGGTTAAGGAAATCCGGATTGGGACTCACTCACCTCCTTGGGGATGAGTGTGGGTCAAAGTTGCTGGCAAGTGAGGCTTCCTGCCCCAGGCAAGCCCATGAACGAACCAAATAGAGAACAGTTGACTGGGGCAAAAGCCTTACCTGTATAGGAGGTTACTCACTCTGGCATAAAGATGTCTTTCATAATAAAAGCATCACCAGATTCCAGAGTCATCAATTAACAAATTGTGCTGGTCTGCTGCAGGCGCTGTTTCTTTCCTTAGAAATGTATCTTACCCTTTGACCCTCAGGGCTCTCCAAAGGGTATGGTGGTTACGACCATCTGTCTGCAGTGATTCACTTATGCTCATTTTCTGCTACAAAAACGGCTGTCTTGAACTGACTCTCAAGACACAAGTGACTGCCCACCACCAACAGGCTATATCACTTTAGTCCTCGTTTTACTCGCCCTGTCTGAGTAGTCTCATTTTATATTTCTGTTTCAACTACTAACCACTGTTATTTCCAAGATGCTCCATTAATTTCATAACACCTGGGGGCGGGAAGGGGATAAGAATCCCTATCACATTAAATATGCAACATCTATTGTCAGCTCATCCCTACACCTCATAGCTAAAGACCTGTATTCATCCTTTAAGACTCATTTCACAGTCAACCCCTCTGAGAAGCTCTTTTGACAACCTTCCCTGGACTGACCACTTCCTTGTGTCACAACTGCACCTTACACATGCTGTCATGCCTACCACAGTCATGATGCACAGACTGTAAGCATCTCAAGGGCAGAGGCTGTCTTATTCATCTCTGTATTCCCAGGGTCTAGTCCAGTGCCTGACATTCATTTACTCTATAAATATTTATGGAAGACCTATCATGTGCCAGGTACACTCCTGATTTGCACTTGTCTGTTAAACAAAAGATTTTTTTAGTGAACATAGACTGTGCAGTAACATAGGAGATACAGATGAGAATGTGACAGTCTCTTTGGCACTTCTGTTGTTAGAGCGAGATAGGAGCAGTATGTATGCTGTGCTGCCCTGATCTGTTTGGGCTTCTAGAACAAATATCACAGACTGGGTGGCTTAAACAACAAACACTTATTTCTCACAGTTCTGGAGGCTGGGAAGCCCAAGATCAAGGTGCTCGCTGATGCATTTCCACGTGAGGGCCTTCTTGCTTTGCAGACACATAGCTTCTTGCTGCATCCTTACATGGCAGAGAGATCATCTCCTGTCTTTTTATAAGGGCACTAATCCCATTCATGAGGGCTCCAATCTCAGAACCTATTTACATCCCTAAGGACCCATCTCCAAATACCACTGGAGATTAGGGCATCAGCATATGAATCTGGGGGACGGGGAGTACAAGCCTTCAGTCCATAGCATGTGCTAAAATGAATGTGATTAAGTGCCAAAATGTGTGGTTCAGACATTAAGGGCCAGACCTTACTCTTCTCTGTAGCTCCAGCATCTCCCAAACCCTAACATGAGGCTTGCATTTCAAGTTAATTCAATTAAATTGAAAAACTTCCCAGAGAAATTCTAGCGGATTCTATGAGATGGAAAGGAATTGCAGGGTGGGCAAACAGCATGGCAAAAGGCTTGGTGGCAAGAATGAATTAAAAAAAAATTTTTTATTGGGTTATAGATAACATAGAATTTACCCTTTTAGCCATTTTTAAGCATACCATTCAGTGGCATTAAGTACATTCCCATTGTTGTGCCATCAGGGATGAATTTTTGAGTCTCTTTCAGAAGGGTTCATACCTGGCTGATCACACGTTTATTAGTGGAAATAATGATGCCTCAGAGTAAATGTAGTGTTTCTCTCCCCAACTTAGGCAGTTTCCCCACTAACTCCTGTGATTTGTTTTGCATATATTAATGAGAGACTGTGGTGTTGGGGGGCAGGGTGGCACCAGTGCTGCTCCCTTTATGTGTGAATTATCCTTGTGAAGTTTTAAACAATGAACACTAAAATTTTCCCCAAATGCTGGGCCTTTTGTATTTAAATCAAAAACACAAAACCCTATTGTGGGAAAAAAAAGAATCTTTATTGGCAACCAGTTGTGTCCACTTAAAGTACTTTCCTTATGAAGTGCTGTAGCTATTAATACACTTGAGTGTTTTCTTTTTTGTTTCTTCTTTCATGGGGTGTGTGTGTGTGTGTGTGTGTGTGTGTGTGTGTGTGTGTGTGTAAGAAGTGTTCCAATAGTGCCATAGGCACCCTGGAGAGGGAAGGAGATGGGCCAGGGAAGGTGAGGTCCACCTAGCCACAGGGTAGTGAGCAGAGCCTGTGAGATCTGGGTTCTGGTCTTGCCATTGCTGTGAACCCTTGGGCAAGTCACCTAAACACTTATACAGGCCACAAAGAGGATGGAATCCACGGCCTTTAAAGTGCTTCCATGTCTTTCAGTCTTATCTGAATAATTTTTAGCGAGGCCAAGCTGCTGGTTTGGTGGGGTGCTTAGCTTGGGACCAGTGGGTGAACGTGCCGGCAGTTAGCCGAGGGAACAAGAGACAAGCGTGGGTGACTCCAGAGCGGAGGAACGCTGGGTGTCCCGGAAAGGAGCTAATGCGATGGGATTTCCAGACGTGTCTTTATCGAAGGCCAAACTTTTAAAGGTCGGAGGAAAGTTTGTCGTGGGGCGGGGGCCCGAGGGGAGAGCTGGGTGGGCTCCGCCGCCTCCTCCCCTTTAAGCGGGCGGTCCCGGCGCGCGCTCCGTTACCTGAGCGGGGAGGGGCTTGGGAAAGTTTGTGTTTGTTGCTGGCAAAGCGCCCGGTGGGAGGCGCGGGCGGGCGGGCGCCGCGGCTCTTCCCTTTTGCTTTCGGGAAGCGGCTGGGGTTGTTCGCTCGGCGCAGCGGAGCGGCTCTGGCGCCCGGCTCCCGGTGCCCGGCCGGCCGGAGGAGGGCGGGGAGGAGGTAGGCGGACCGGCGGGAGCGAGGGGCGCACGTCCGCCCGGCGCTGGGATCGCTCGGCTGGCGCGGAGAGCGGAGCAGGCGCGCGGCCCAGGCGGAGGAGCGCCGACTCTGGAGCAGCCGGAGCTGGAGGAGGAGGAGGAGGAGAGGCGGCGGGGAAGGAGGCGGCGGCGCAGAGTCGCTCCCGCCCGGCGAGCATGGGGCGCCTGGCGCCCAGGCCGCTGCTGCTGGCGCTGCTGGCGCTGGGTGAGTGCGCGCGGGGCTCGGCGAGGCGCGGGGGGACCGTGGGGGCCCCGGGAGCTGACCGGGGTACGCGGGCGGCGCGGCCCGGCGGGGGAGGACGGCGGGGCGTCCCGGGAGCCCGGCGCGGGTCCGGCCCGGCAGCGCGCGGGGGGCAGCCTCCTCTCCGCCAGGCCGAGTCTCGCCCCCCACACGTGCGGGGGGGAGTGGCTCTTGGCCGGCTGCCCCCAACCCTCTCTACCTGTTGGCCGCCGGGAGCCGGGCTCACCTTGAACTGCCGGCCGGGAAGGTGCCCGCGGTCCCCGGCCAGTGTCCCCAGCTTGGGAGCGGAAATATGCGCCTTTGATCTGCCTCTCCGTGGCCGAGACCCGCCGACTCGCTCCTCACACACAAGCCCGGGCTGAGTTGCCTTTCCAGGGAAGCGAGAGAATCCGCCAACTTCCTTCTACGAAGGTCGCGAGGTGGCCTAGAGCGCTGGAATAAAAATCGGGGTGCGAGCCCTTCTGTCATGTTGGCTGTGGTTAGAGCTTCTGCCTCCGTCTTTCCCTTCACTTCTTCTGGAAGCTGCCTAGCTCCATATTTACACACAAAGACCTCGGAGGCTTGGCTTCTGCAACTTTCCCTACCTGTTACTTTCCCTGCCTCTCCTGGCCCCTGTCTTCCACCCTTCCCAAACCTTGGTGCCTCTTGATAAATGGGCCCAGCGCCCTCCCCCAACCCAAGGAATCTTGGGTGTTTTTTCTCTCTCTCCGTTTTCCTTTTACTCCATACACACAGACACCATCTTCACGTAGCTACATATGGTTATCTTCATATATTACCATAACCACGTGGCCATCAGCCACAGAAATACATCTGTTTATTAAGTGCCCACCGTGGTGCCCCAGGACTGGCCCTTGAATGCTTTGATATCCGTGAATCCTTTTGGTTTGTGTCAGAACAGGAAGAATCCTGTTACCTGACCGCGGGTTTCCTTCCAAGACCTTAGAGAAGGCAGATCAGGATCTTTTGTAGAGAGCGTGGTGTGTGGTTTCTGTGCCAGCCAGGCCCCAGCTGCACACAGGGTAAGCGACTCCTCTGCACTTAATGGTCACAGGGTCCCAGTGGAGGACTTCCATAGCCACTCTCCCATCCTGATGGCTCCAGGGCTCACACTGTCCCAACCCCCACGACTCTTGGTGCTGCTGGGCCAGCCTTTCTGCTGCTACTGTGTTCTCTTCACCTCCGAGGGGTTTTCTGGGACTCACTCCCCAAGAGAGTGTATCCAGCCACATTGCTTTAGCTACGACCATTTGCCAAAAGCTTCCGGATCTTTCACTTAGTTTTGAATCATCTCTTCTGTGATCTCGGATCCGAGTGCGTTTATTCTTTTCTTTTCACTCTGGGACCCTTGTAAAGATCGTTTGTTGCCTACTGCTGGTGATAGTCCATAACCATCCATGAGCTAATGTGTTTGGATCAAACAGGGCCGTGGTCAATGGTTGCACAGAGTGTGCACTGCACAACTCTGGGAGCTGCTATTTCGCTTCATAGGCTTTGTGAGAATGACTCCCCCTAGAGTTGTGCAGGTCACAACCTGTGTTACCAGTAAAGGTGGTGGGGTCAGGTAGAAGTCTGAGGAAAAAAGTGCCCTTGAGTACCTATGATAAGGGAGAAAAAAGGAGAGGAGAAAGGGCAAAGGGAGAAAAATAGAAGCAGCAAAAGCAAAAACAGAAGTGGGGAAAGCACAGCTTGGGGAAGTCTTGGTTGTAAACCAGTGTATCCTGCCCTGACTGTACATCTCAGGTTAACTACACACGGGGAATGTCTGTGGTATCACCAGCCAATGCCTTATCCCTTAACAGGTCCCTGAACTTGAACCTGATAACTCTGCCCCCACATAATCTCGCTCGGTGTGACTTCGGTCTGACCTCCGGGAAGCCCTCCCTGTTGCACCACTCTGGCACTGTCCTGATTCCTGAAACTTAATATGTTGATAAGCAAGATCATCTTTCCTCTTGTATCGCGACCTGGGCATAATCTTGCTGGCACTTTCTTTGACCTCCACGTTCACACTGTCCTCTCTACCTGTTGAGAGGTTCTATTCTGTGGCTTTTCCCATAGCGCAGACTCTAGCTTCTTCCTGCCCTTCCTGTTTCTACAGCTATTCCTCTAGCCCAGGATGGGATACTTCCCCACACAGGTCACTTCTGACATCTTCCTGGTTGGCTTTTGCTTCCAGCCTCCCTTCTAAGGTCATCATTTTCCTTAAAGGATCAGTTTTGGGGGTCCTGCCTTTGTATGTTGGTTTTTTTAATGACTTTCTTACAAAGATATGCTTCCCCCGTCTTCTCTTCCCGCTGGCCTTCTCTCTGATTCAGACACTTCCTTCTAAGTAACCTGTTTGTTCTCCTTTACATAGAACATTGGTGAACCTCCTGGCTCTTCCACTCCCCTGGTCCTTGGAATGCCCCTCCTGCTTCTCTCCTTTTGCCTGTGAATTTCCTCCCCCCTCTAAAACTCACCTCCTCCATGAAGCTTTCCTGAGTAAGTCTACCTATCACCGTCACATCAGAATCCACTCAGCTTCATAGAGCGAGTTTTCACTTCGGTTGCCTATGTCTGACCTATCTTGTTTATCCATTCAATACAGCGTTTTGCGAATGCCCATAGGAATCCATACGGGTGGCCCGGCCAAATGCCTCACTGAGTGGTGGGGGTGGGTGGGGGTGGACAGATAATAAAACAGCTAACTACAAGACAACGAAATACCTGACATGGAAACCAAGTGCTGGTAGGAAGCAAGGAAGAGGATGATTCCTTTTGACTTGGGACTGGGGATGATTTTGCTAAAGAGGTGACATTTGAGCTGAGCCTTGAGGACAATTAGAATTTTGACAGAAAGGATGGAAGAACCTCCCAGGCTCTGGGGAAAGGCATCAAGTGTGGATGAGTGAAGGTACGTGGCTCCTTCAGAAATGACAAGGAAGTTCCATGTAACTGGAGGGTGGGAGGAAGAGGATATAATGGGAGAGCAGGCTGGAAAGATGAGCTTGAGTGGATTCTGAAGGCTTTTTGTGCTGTGCTGAGAAGTCTAGATCACGAGGGATGGGTTTGTTGGCCTGTGGGTGCTGCCAGGCAGCCTGTACTTCTTCATTATAGCGCTTACCTAGCTCACTGGATGTAATTGTGTGTCATGTCTAAATCACCACCCTGATTATACTGCCTGGGTACAAGGACCATGTTGGTTTTGTTCACGGTAGTATCCCTGTTACTAATAGGGTGCCTAGCACATAGTAGGTGTTCAGTAAATATTTTCTGTGAAGATAAATATGAGATCTGACAAGTTTGCGAGCTCATCCTAGAAAAAAATGCGACATACCTCATTGCTGAATATCACTACGGTCACCTTACAAAATACTCCCCTTGAGAAGCTATGCACCAACGCCAGTGCCTAGTCCACCCTTCAAAGCAGTTTTGAAATTCTTTTTCTGGAATGGCCATCAGAGCTGTTGTATTACCCTTGATGTCCTCAATGTCACCCAAATGTCTTCCTTTCAATATTGCCTTTATCTTCCTATAAAAAAAGAAGTCATGGGGGCCAGATCAGGTGAATAGGGAGGGTGTTCCAATACAGTTATTTGTTTACTGGCTAAAATCTCCCTCACAGACAGCGCCGTGTGAGCTGGTGCATTGTCGTGATGCAAGAGCCATGAATTGTTGGTGAAAAGTTCAGATTGTCTTAACTTTTTCATGCAGCCTTTTCAGCACTTCCAAATAGTAAACTTGGTTAACTGTTTGTCCAGTTGGTACAAATTCATAATGAATAATCCCTCTGATATCAAAAAAAGTTAGCAACATCGTTTCAACAAGTTTGCGAACTTAATTGTCCGACCTGTGTGTGTTGTGTGTGTGTGTGTGTGTGTGTGTGTGTGTGTGTGTGTGTAAGTATATATTGGGTTGTCGGAAAAGTCATGACATTTTTTCTATGTTTTTTGTTGCAAAAGTGCATCATGACTTTTCCGACAACCCAATATATACACATATAGGTAAATTTATACACATATATACACATATACATATGTGTGTATATATATCTCCTTTTATCTGTGGGTAATGGGTAGCCATTGAAAGTTCTCAGGGTGAGAGTAAGGCAGTCTGAGGGGAGCAAGGCCTTACTAGGGTGCAGCATGAATTAGAGAGTGGAAGGTACGAAGACTGGAAAGGGATTATGATAGTCTCAACAATTTGTGTCTTTAAAAAATATATATTTGCAAGTCCATTGAAGTAGTTTTAAACGATAGAAACATTACATCTATTGTTTAAAATTCACACAACATATTAATTAGGCAGGCTAAACTGCTCTAAGACTCAAGCAAAGAGGTTCAAACAATAGATGTGTCCTTCCTAACAGTCTCAAGGGGATGTTTTGATGAGAAGGTTGGTGGGATCCCTGCTCCACACAGCCATTCTGGCACCCAGGCTGATGGCAGTCCTGCTGTCTTCAACCCGTGATTTCTAAGGTCACTTTGGTTGTCACCATCGTCTTTCCAGCTCCACAAAGGGTGAAAGCTCATGGAGGGATAGGTATGGAGGCCTCATGGCCAAACGTGGAAGTGGCACACATCGCTTCTGCACATATTCCACGCAAGAAAATTCAGTCCATGCCACACTAGCTGCAAGGGAAGCTGAGACATGCAGAGTAGCCTGGCAGCCATGTGCCAGCTACTGTGGAAGATGAGAAGAACAGCTTTGAGGGGACAGATAGCAGTCTCTGGGTTACAAAAGATATAAGGTAAAAAAAAAAAAAAGTGCCCACCCTCCCACTGCGTCAGCTCTCATATCTATGGACACGTGTCCGTTTACTGACTATTTGGTTTGTTCTTTTCTCAGAGCTGCTAGACGGGGCTCTGCGCCTATGAGGCAGAGAGTAAGAACAGCAGTGTGTATAGAGGACGTGCAGCTCCAGGCCCTTCATGTATATTCTCTTACTTCATGCTTTGAGAAAGGTACTAGTGTTTTCTTCA